AGAATTATCTTCTTGTACAGATAAATATCTTATACCAACAGTTTCCATATCACTGATAGCAGCTGTCATAGCATATTAATAAAAATAACATTCAGAACTGAATTAGACTCTTGTGGACTTCCAAAACAATCATTTTACCAGATAATGCACTGTAGCTCCTCTAGCTCTAGGACTTATTATATATAATTGGCTAGGCAAAATATGGGGCTAATGCTGTAAGCACTCTGTGCATTGATTTCCCATTGACTTTACAGGATCAAACTTGTATATATGTAGTTATATAACCGAAACACATGCCATTCTGTTCTCTTTGTACTGCAACTTTAAATCAAGGGAAGTGTTCTCTTCCCTATTACTAAGGCCGCTGCCATTCTCAGTTTAGATACAGAATGTTACAAAATGAAGTCACTGGGTTTTCTGTCTCACAGAGAGTTTATATTTGTTTATTTTCTTTAATCTGAAATAAAAGTTGTCTAGCCTGAAATTACATGTTTACTCTGTGGGAAACATAAGAGGCTCGATGCTATATTTTTATGGCCAGACTCAGTTTAAGAATTAAAAGAGAGTTCTAGGACAAATATGGGCCATGGAAACCCTCCAAAGTGAAACTTCAGGACTTGTACAACTTTATGCAGTTGCATTAACAGATAGTTAAATTTGGCTCTGAACTGGGATGTTAAAACCAAGTTTTTATGGATCACTGTAGGTATCAACTTGCTTAAATTATCCAATAATATGTAAGCAATGTAGTTGTAGCTGCCAGTCCCAGGATATTAGAGAGATTAGAGGGAGATGGGTAGGAATATTGACTTACCAGGTTCTGTTGACAAAGCCAATAAAACTGCTGGAACTTCTGAGACATAAGGAGCTGAGCACTTCCAACAGCACTTCGGATCTTACCTAGAACTGAACAAGCAGAAAGGTTTTTTCCAACCGGTGTCTTTGAAGTAACGTGAATGCAAAACTGTAATTAGATACAAGAAGTGTTGAGCTGAACTCCTATTATTTCAGAATATTAGTAACTATTTTGTTAAGGTTTAGGGACTATGTAGACAAACTACTTTTGAGGAAGATGCAGTTATCAGGAGACTCTGAGGCTGTGTATAGCGTTATACCCAACCTTCCTAGACCCATGGCAATAATAAACAATACATTAATAATTGGAAAGAATGCAGGGAAGGTTGACTTAGGAAAAGAGGGAGAGCCTAACACTGTCTCCACTTCCTAGGAAATCAAAGATTTGAGAAAATATTAAATAACTTGCTGAGGCTGGCACTCAGATTTTATTTTTAAGGCAAACCTTGATTTATACAGTAAATGACAAAAACAAAGCTCAGTCACAAGTGTCATCATCCTGAAGTTATTTTAGCAAATGCTTTAGTCTCTGTCCAGCAAAGCAGTTAAGTATGCACTTAACTTTAAGTACTTCAGCAGCCCATGAAAGTCAATGAGACCAGTGGATTGTCACAAGCACTGTTCTAAATTGTTATTCAGCTCCACAGTCCATCAGTTTTTCTAACCTTACCTTACAAGCATCATCAGGCACAACTAACAATCTGGAGCTCAACCCAATAATATCTTTACTCCATAGTCTCCACAGTGGAACATGATTTATTGTTGATGCCAACAGGCTTGGGATCAGGGCCTAAGAGCATATTGTAGGCAGCAGGCTCTGTTAACTAGGCCGGGCTTATTCCATGCATTAACATTCTAGTAACTAATTAAAGTACTACATCTTTCTAAAGCATAGTCTCTATAAAATATTAAGTGCTAGCTCATGTGTTAATATCTTAATATAAAATAATTATGAATCAAGAACAATATTGTATTAGTTTTCCTTAAAACATTGTTTTATACTGAAAACAGAGTTTGTAAAATGGCATTGTGGACTTCTCTGTTAATTGTCTTTGAATGATGTTAAGACCAAATTTGCCCAGTTTATGGGTAAAAAGATGATGCCTGCCTTGTACACCTAGTCTGGGAATCTCACAATCAAAATGCGTTCTCTCCTGGTGAAATCCAACCCCCACTGGAGTTTTGCCATTGATTTTAATGGAGCCAGGATTTCACTCTCTAGCTCTGAAAGCACAAATGATAAACATCCTTCACTCGGAACTCCACTAACAATTCTGTGGATGCTGCCCTGACCCTGAACAGAACCCAGCTCACATTATCAGAGCTGTATTGGCTGTGCAGTGCTAACAAAAGTAAAATATATGTGAAGTACCCTACCACAAGAACCTCAGAGGAACCTGGGCCTCATTGACTCCCAGGGATCTCTTCCTGGAATGGTGCAGGTACATGTTGACCCATACTTAGAACTATCCATAAAGGCCCCAATTCAACAGAGCACCTAAGCATATGTGCTTAACTTTAAGCATATGTATTTAAATCCTGTTGATTTCAATGGGACTGTCACGGCGTTGCTGATCCCTTTAATGGATTAAGATATCTCTACATGGCAAAAGAAACACTTTGCACACGCCGACGGAAATTACAGAACCGCAAGTCAGCTTGAAAAGCTGCTCAGGACAGTCAAACTCATTGGACAGCAAGTCATTTAAGCCAGTCAATAAATTGGCAGGCCCAGGAGTCTAACTGCAGATGACTCAGGGGTTAGTGCAGGAAGAGATGTCCCAGACACTGAGGCTATGTCTACACTTCAGCTTATGATGGCATATTTTATGTCACTCAGGGGTGTGAATAAACTGCCCCCATCCCCGAGAAAGATAAATTATGCCAGCATAAATGATACTGTGCACAGGGCTATGTAGACAGGAAAGCTTCTCCTGCCGACATAGATTTTGCTGCTCGAGGGGGTGGGTGTTTTATGCCAATAGCTCTCCCATTGGCATAGAGCGTCTTCACCACATGCGGTGCAGTGGCGCAGCTGTATCGATACAGCTGCGCTGCTTCCACGCTGTATGTGTAGACATGGCCTGAGTCTCAGTACCCTGGGTGGAACAGATGGAGGATGAGAAGCAGCAATTAAAGGAGCAGGTATGTGAAGGAGCCAAGCCAAAACCTTGAGAAAGAGGTCTTCAGCCTAAAAGAAGGACAGAAGGAATTGGAATATCTGCTTGCTTTGGAGAGGCAAACTACTACAGAGACAATGGAAACATATTGAAATAGAAGTATGGGAATGAGAGAGACCCTCTGCTTAAGCAGAGCAATAGAGGAAGGCCTGAAACAGAAGCTGGAGTTAGAGAATGTCAAGTGTACCTTGGAACAGCAGGTTACCAAGCTGGATAAGGAGTTGGAGACAGACTCGTGAGCACCAGAAAGTGGCCCATGAGGCAGTCGCCCTATACACCCTGGCAGAAGCAGCTGTGTTGTGTAGGAGTGTAGGAACTGACGCCCATGAAGAATCATGCAATAAGTTGGTGAGCACAGAAATGGCATCTTGTGTTGATACAAGGGGGTTGACTGACATGCCAGACCTCCAGAAAAACCTTCCAAGAGAAACTGTCAGCTTCTTGACAAAGGATTGGGTGTCCCACAGCACAAACACTAAGATCTCATGCACAACAGAAGCTGCAATAATGGCAGTAACCTTCTCAGCTACACAGCAGACCTCTGCAATAATGGACAAGAGTGAGCTGGAGGAGAAGGCTGCTACTGCTGATAGGAACCTATCTGAAATCATAGGGGCCGACTCTGTGGGTGTTCCGGGGCTGGAGCACCCGTGGGAAACAAATGGTGGGTGCTGAGCACCCACCGGCAGCCTCCCTACCAGTGCCTCCCCATTCCCTTAGTGTGTCCTGCCTGCCGGCAGGCCCTGCCAATCAGCGCCTCCCCCTCCTTCTCTCCCTCCCAGCACCTACCACCTGCAGGGGATCAGCTGTTTCGCGGCGTCAGGAGGTGCTGGGGGGTGGGGGAGGAGCGAGGGCGCAACATGCTCAGGGGGAGGGGTGGGAAAAGGCAGGGATGGGATGGAGTGAGGGTGGGAAGAAGCAGGGTGGAGGTGGAACCTTGGGGGAAGGGGTGGAGTGGGGGCAGGGCCTGGGTGGAGCCAGGGGAGAGCACCCTCCGGCAGATTACAAACTTGGCCCCTATTGCTGAAATCCTGGAACTTCAGCTGCAGATGGCTCAGTTCTGGTGGGAGCTGGAAGAGACAGGCTTTTTCCCGGTAAAGTGGGAGCAGTAGCTGGCCCACCACAAAGTTGAAAAACAGACTGGGAAATAGCAGTGTTTGCTGCTGCAGAAGGAGCTGACTAAGGCACAGAATCTCCTTAAGGATCCTCTGGGGGTGAAGTCCCACTTGGCTACAGATAAAGAACTGGAATCATGTGAGGTGAGCCCAGTATAAGAGGAAGATGGACAGAGCAAGGAGGTATATCAGCCTGCGGAAGCTAAGAACTACCCTGCCATGGGTCTAAAAACATGGGATCACAATGAAGCTACAAGGCCAAGTTACAAAAAGAGGTCTACCCCAAGGAACAAGGAAGACCCAGATAGAGCTACAGCCCAGAACACTGTTCAAAAGGGACTGCGGGCCTGGGAAGTGCAGAAATGGGTGCTGCTGAATGGATTGTTAACAGCTGTAGGAAAAAGGGTCCAGTCCTTAGCATTAGGAAGCCCTGAAAGGAAGTTGGACTTGGATAAAGACGCTTTTAATTCTAAGGACTGTGCCTGTGTTTGTGTCCAGGGAAACTCCTCCCCAAAAGACCAAGCTGCTGCCTTAAGTCAGTTCAACGGTGGTGAAAATTCTGTGTTAACCACAACACAAGTAGCTGGGGAATTAGACATTCGGGGAATACAACATGTGGTAAATTATTACATTCCAAGAATGGAGGAATATATTCACTGCATGAAGCACTTCCAATATAGTGGAACCCAAATTGTGGTCACATCATATTTTATTGAGAAGGGGAGGAACATTGCCAAAGATTTAATAGTCTTACGGGGTGCTGCTGAACAGAAAGTTCCCCATGGCTTGAGAATATCACCAAGTGTTAGTGTCAACCCTACATTTGTGTACAGGTCAGTTCTGCAGGGGAGGAAGGAATGTCATGGGGTTGCTTTAAGAGGAGTGCAGGCCCAGCCTACACTTGATGAGCTAATGTATGGAGCACATCTAGGCAGTTGATTGGATAACGAACACCTATGCCTGTTAAAAGGCTATCAGGGCTCAGTAACAGGGAGGGGCTCACAGAGAGAGATAAACTCTCCTAAAGGAGAGGAACTCCAAGGATTAAAAGCCATGGGCCGAAAGGAGGAGGGCTGTACAACCTCTGAGCCAGGGAAACCAGAACTGCGAACCACAGGCCCCAAGGAGGAGAGCTGTACAAGCCCTGGGGCAAAGAGAGTGACCAGAGGCCAGAGAGGCCAGAACTGAGAACCACAGGCTCCAAAGAAGAAGGCCGTGCAGCTCCCTGAACCCAAGGGGAGAAACTTTCATTCTGGTTTATTTTAGGTTTAATAAAGTAGAACCCCAGCAGGAGAACTTTGTCTTACATCTGTTTGGACTCTGTGGAGTTCTTAAAGGGCCCTGAGAGAAGGGAAACTAAGGCAGGGAATGCCTGCAGTCACACTATCTCAGCAGGGACTCAAGCACCTGTGTAAGTGCTTGGCTAAATCAGGGCCACAAGCACAGTCCATAATAACTTTTCTGACCATAACTGTACTTTACATTTACAGCCTGTATTCACATTTTCTCCGGTAACACTATATTCCACTACAAGTTTCCCAATTCTTACTGAAGTTCTAGCTTTTCTTGAAAAATCCAAACTTCCTGTAGTTTCACATGAAACATCCAGACTTTTCCCGGAACAAATAACATTTCCTTCTATGTGAAAGAAAATATAATTTTTTTTAAAAAGCTTTGTAAGCTGGAATGGAAATCGGATACACTAGGATTAACTTATTGGTGGTGGAGGGGGTTTTTGGGATGAGGATTTTTCTGG